TTATCATGAATATAGTTATTATGAATATAAAAATACAATATTCATGCTTATGTATTTGCAGTACATAAGCAAATATTTGTATATATAACTGCTTAAACACATAAGATTGTCATGCATTAAATTGTGAATTGGAAAAATGAAATTTGGAAAACTAAACTAACCCAAGCGAACTCAAATCATCAAGGCGAACTAAGAAAGTAAGAAAAGAAAAGCCGTATCCACTTTGCACAAACACTCTGACCAACTTATGGAATCTTTACACATCGGCAAGCAATCAAACCCAATATCTGGTAAGCTTAATCATACACACAAACCGCACATGTTCAATTACAACATTACAACATTACAACATAAAATGTCTGTAAAGTTTTTGCAAATTCATTTCGACAACAAAATTCTCAAAACCCGAAACCCTTTTTGCGTTGCCGCATGTCGTCATCTTCCTTCCATGACCAATAAATTTTTCCATATGCTGCTGCCCTTCATACTGTTTCACATAAGTGTACAGTTTCCGTTTAAAATAGTTCTTCCACATAGTGCCTATGTGGATTACTTGTGGACTAACTTGCCCTTGGTGTTCAAATCCATTCTTGCTTTTTTTTGCTTTACTGCTTTGCGATCAGAGCAAAGGAATCATCACAAGGCATCAGAGCATGTTGCAAGTTTTTGTTTGCTTCAATTGTGGTCAGAAGATATGCAGACCAATTCAGTTGGCATTTTTCCATTATTTGTTCTATCAGATTTTGTAACTAAAATATTTTTGTTCTGTACGTCCTGATTCATTTGAACTTCTTCAGGTTTTTGAACATTTCAAAAGTGCAGTCTGATGAAAAATAAATTAAAAACGAAATGTTATAAAATATAAATAATGAAATAAAAGTTCAAAAAATAAATATATTTAAGCTTTCAATCCTAACTCATTCAAAATTTGTGCAGTATTTGCTGAGTTCAAATTGTCAACGATTCTTTGCCACCTCCTACCACTCCGCACCTCATTGTCAGTTTGGTCGGCAAATGGTTTTGTTGAGATACTTTTCAAGCTAAAAATGTTGTGCTTTCGTTTTAACTCTGAAATATTTGTTAGCTTAATTTTCTGTAAATAAATGCATTGATTTGCAATTGTCATCATTCCTTAATTTTGATTTTTCAATATAGTGGAGTAACTGCAAAACAGTGGGCAGGGGCAGTGTGAGAGGAGCAAACTGAAAAGCATTATTTGAATTTATTTTGTGGTCAGCAAAATTATTTAAAAAATTTTTGAGGGTAAAATTTCAAAAATTTTATTTTCTATGTTGAGCTCTGCAAATATTTTGCTGAAAAGGCAATTTTAGGTCAAACAGAAATTGTAATAGAAAAAGTGTGGCATTCTGACATTGTTGGATTTAAGGATTTGGAAAATGTTTGCAATATCATACAGCTTAACATACAATGGATACTTTTTGCTCTCCTGCAACTGCAAAATTTACTGCTTTTTTAATGAAAAAAATGAAATATTTCATTTAATATATTCAATAAATAAATTGTGGCTTTAACTACATAATATATTTGTTTGCTTAGTTTTATTATTTAATTAATATTTTTAATAAACTTTTAATATGTACGAAGTACGAAGTGTATGTACTAACAGAAAAACAAATTCCAGAACTACCGTTTTGTAAGAAGGCATTATTTTGGAAGTATACCGTCTAATTTAACTCCTACACGCTTCCTATTTGGTGCTTTAACTAATTGCAAAACATATATATATTGCTCAATTTATCTCACTCAATCTATACGAATTAGTCCTTTTTATTACTAAAATTCGCAAGACTTGCAAGCGATGACGCAAACGAAATACTAAAATTATTAATTGCGTACTTCTTACAATCGCTGCGAATGATTTTTCCATCAATTAAATATATTTGATCGCTAGTACCGATGCCATGTCTTCTAGCGCAATGCTAGTCCCGTTGATCATAATTATACAACCCTTAGTCTTCATTTCCGACTGTACACCATCGCTCGAAATAAAGAACGTTTTCGGCTTTGAAATCATGTGCTCGACTGAGATGGTAAAAGAGAAAACCTAGGAGAAAACAGGGAGTAAAAGAAACTATGAAACATATAATAAAGAAAAGGGAGGGAAATGGAAAAAAATATAAAATAATGAGAAAGAAAAATTTTCATACCTAATTATCCTATGACATGAATATACCTGTTGTCTTTTGGTGGTTGTTGTATATATATATATAGGTTTGGCATGTTTGCTATTACAAGTTTGATTGTTTGTTAAGGTTCCTTAATATATGTAAAGTACAAATATTGTCGACCGTTATTTTAAAGGTATATTTCGGTGTTGATATAACTTTATAGTAATAATAGGTATAAAATAATTATATTTTGAATTTATCTATCTTTATTATGATAACTAATCATAGTAACATTTCATAGTAATGGTATTTATTTTAATTTCAAACTCACTATGATTGCTTTTCATGCAAATTAAGATGATGACAAGATCGTTTTTATAGACTAAGGAAATTTATAAACATAACGGAGAGAAAATTTTCGACTTTAAAATACCAATTCAATATTTGAATTTATTTATTGAGTTGGTGGAAGTTAGTGTAATCCTGAAATCAATATAAAATGACATTCACACGAATGCGAGAAATGAGAATAAGGAAACATACAATTTTATAACAACAAAGTTAACTGATTACTATAGCACATAAAGAGAAAACAAAAATCTTCCTTTCAGCAATATTGAAATCTTCTTCCAGCAATATATGGGTCAATATATTTAGAATTGTAGGCTATAAGTTAACACTCGCAGCTTCTCAAATCCGCCCCTGAGCTTAGTTTCATTAACAGCAGAATCATGCGAAAATATTCGATGGGTTGATTGCAGCCAAACGGAACATCTTGTTTGTCCGGAAATGTTCCATTTGGCTTTTGTAGGTCTCAGCTCTACAAATGAAGTTCGTACAGTTTCTTTTGCGCTATTGAAGTAACAATACCTATATAAAATTGTTTTCTTACAATAATCAATAACTTATATTACTTATATATATATAAATAATTTTCTAAATGGTATGTAAATTTGTAAATTATTTGTTACAGATTATTTTTAATAGTATTTTAAGACTGAAGTCTACTAATGAAGTCTACCTGTTGCACCAAAATTTCTACCTACATATACAGTATGACCTCGATTAATGCAACACTCTAATATCGCAACTCCTCGGTTATTGAGATCTCTTAAATTTTTCCTATATTATCTTTGATATTGCAACTTTAAAAATTGACTACAGTAAAAAATGCAATTTTTGCTAATTATTTTCCTCTTTTAAATTCTTAATATTTTTTTGTCGCTTAAGTGTATTTATTTGCTCTCTTATACTCAATCATTAGAATTTGCGAACACACTAACGGTGAATAGGAATATTATGAAATCATGAAATTATTTCAGATGTTCTTTCTCGACAAGAAATGGATGAGTTGGTCAACGAATTTTCTATGGAAAATGTATCTCTTGCTGAACAATTGGACATCTATTCAGACTTGGAAACTGAGGATAGTGTAATCACACTTTATATCAAAAATGACGTGGCAATAAATGCACTTAACACATGCATACAATGGTCTGAGGAAAATTCCAAATCTAAGAGAAAAGTTTTAATACTTAAAGATATAAAAAATGAGGCAGTTGCAATGAATCTTAATTGCAATAAAAAGCAAGCTGAAATAACAAGTAATTATTATAAGTATAATTGCAATTATGTTTTTATAAATTAAAATAAGTAATCATATTATTTTCTAATAAACTTAATGTCTCTTTATTAAATTTAAAACTTTTAGATGCACCAAATAAATTAAATTCGATTATAGCAACACTCTCGTATTCTTTAAGTTACATTAATCGAGGTCATACTGTATATGGTATTTAGAAGTAATGAAGTGTAGATAATTAGAATTTATATTAACATACTGACAGCTAGTTTTGTTTTCATAATTTATGACTTTTGAATATTTTTTATATATTATTTATTATATGTTATATATTTTTGTAGTAATGGAAATATAAGAAATATAAAACTATTAAAGATCAAATCTGAATTTGAATCTGAACAAATATAACCCACACACATAATTGCCCTTATAAACTGTGATTGAAGACAAATTTTAAATATAATTTAAATTAAAACACAATTTCTAAATTTGAAAATGGCCTATGGGAACCTTAAAATAGAATTAAATAATTTATATAAAATAAATAACGAAATAAAAGGAAATTAAGAACAACATAAATTGTTAAAGAACAATCAAAAATATTTTATATTCAAATCTGAAAATGTTCAGAAATCTCCTAACAGATTACGAACCAAATGCACTCAAGATACAAAACCTAGCCTGAACACAGCACAATGACGATGGCAGTGTAGCTCCGCTTTTCTTACCTTCATCATATTTTGTATGACAATTTCAGTAAAAAATTGAAATGTTTAAATAAATAAAATGATTATCATAACTATAGGACAACCAAAAACAACAACAACAACAGCATCACAAATAAACAGACAGACCAATAAAAGTCGACAGATAAACAAAAAAAGCAGAGATGAAACCAAAATATTTATTCTTAATTTTCATACACACATAAACCAATCACACACACACAATACATGAGTAGTTCCACATTTTCTTTGTTTAAATTTCGTATAATATGTACGAGTATGATTCCATCTTGTATCGTACATCCTTAGCATATTTACGTGCATATATCCTTAAGCTAAGTCAGACAGTGACATTTAAAGTTTGAGTAAACATTGTCAAGTGCTGGCATCAGGAGCAGTTTAAACAGCAGTTAAAAGGGTCAGAGTAACTTTTACGTATACTCATATACGTATATTTATGCTATAATGTATGTATGTGTGAATATGTTTGAATATCATATATATATGGTAGTATTCATTTCTGTATTTTATGGTAACTTTCTGCTTGGCTTTTCAAGTACTTACCGCCTAAGATGCCATTCATGTAGGTTGTGCCGTTGGTATGATGAACCTTTTTCATGAGCGTATCATCGATAAGCAGCAGACGTGTTGAGGAAAAGGGATCTGGTTTGACAGGTCCTTCATACAAATCCATGTCATCGTGATTTTTGAATAGATTATGCCGCGCAATCACATCCTCCATGCCAGCGCGATGGAGTTCTGGTATAAGGCGTAACCAAATTGAAAGTTGGTGTGCTCGAAAATGATTTTTAATGCGTGGTTTCATGCCTTCGTCATTCGAAATAAATATGAAAGTAGAAAATTTTAAATCAAATTATTATGCGAATCTATTTAATTATTTTTTAATATATACATATAGCATATATACTTATTAAGTTGAAGTATATGTTTAAAAGTAGTAGACAATAATTTTGTATCTGAATAAAGTTTAAACAGTTTAAACAGTACAGATGAAAAATATCTTTTTTTTTGTTAAAAAATTATTTGAAGTTTGCGAATGAAATCAAATATATATTTCTTTACAAAAAATTTGCAAGGTTATAGTTGAAAAAACCTAGATGTAAAAGTGTAAATACCAGTATGTATCAGCGTTTTAATACATGAGTTTATAAAAGTTAAGTTGAAGATATATTATGGTATTATTGCACAAGCAATTTTGATTATTAGATAATGTAAAAAGTATCATCATACGATTATTTTAGTCGAATATCATCCAAGTATTTAAAAGGCCCAATTTTTTGTGAAAGCGACTGTGTAATTTGTCACTCGTGTAAAAAGTTTTATAAACAATATTGTTTGAAAATGTATGAAATATCTGAGGAAAAACATTATATGATGCTTTATTAGTATGCAAAAGGTAAAACTGTTACAAAAATATGAAGAAAATCCTGTGTGGTATACGGTGAGAACAATTCCGTTTAAGATTTTTCGATGAGAAAGGTACATCTTTCGCTAGTCGGTAAGTTATTACTTGTACCGATGAAATTTATCAGAAGATAGTAGATGCACTAAACTATAACCACATGTCAGTTTGGAATCATTTTAAAAGAGCAGACTATGCAAAGATGTTCGTTGTTTGGATACCACATGAATTAACGCAAAGACATTTTATTGAGCTAATCACCATCAAGTAAATACTGCTGAAACCCAACGAAATCTAAGTGAATTACCAAAGGCGTCAGGATATAGAGTTATTACGAGATTATTCAATGGATTATAATCGATTATGGTCAAATGCCAATGATACTCGGCAAAAAAGCTCATATTGAGTTTTTTAGTACGCTGAGAACATCAATTGCTCTTAAATTCTTCACTAACAACCCATTCAAAGTCAATTAGAGCCTACAACTGAAATACATGTTTCAAGACTTTCAAGAATATATTTGATCTTAAACATCTTTTAGAAATGTTTAGCTACCTAAAACCTTAAAATTTTTGGGAAAGTGTGATGTTATCTACAACCTTTTAGTCCAATTTTAACCCACAAGGGCCTTATTTTAACCTTAAACGACCTTAAAGTGTGATTCAAAGAGATCATAAATTTCGAAAATATAGAGATATATCCTTATACATCAAAGTTACTTTAGGATACCTATTGCAGATTTTGAAAAAACCAGAAATAGTTTCAGGATCCATTGTTTACATAGAGATTTAAGATATAACTATACACATAAAAACTTTAAAACTATAACAAACTTATTAGTGTAGTAATTCTTTAGTTTTAATTTTAAACTTGGCAATCATAAATGTATTAAACATGACAATATGGGACCCAAATAAATTGAATCTACAGCTTATGATTGGCCGGATAGTCACGCCAATCATTTAGGTATAGAGGTCACTGGATTTTGCAGCACATAAGCTATCCCAAGCACGTAAAAAATAACATAAATTGGTAAAGTTTTATTGCAATCGGTTGTGTAGTTAGACGGGCCCATGGGGAGCTAAAGGACAAACAACTAAGGTTCGTAAATTGATTTTTATAGAATACTAGATAACCCGACAAACGTTGTTTTGCCTTATAAATTATTTCTAGTTTCTAGATAAATTCTAGTGTAGACAAAAAGTAACTTACTTATTATAAGTGCGTAAGTATGTGGTATATGCATGAAATAGGCATGGAGCGCTATGAACGAAAAGGAAAATAAAAATAACAAACGCCAAACAATATTATTTTTAAGTTATTATAGTTTATTTATTAAATTATTAATTTAAAATCAATAGATTTGTATGATACCAAGTTCCCTGGCAACAACTGTTGTATCTTCAAATTTAAATTGTCTTGGATTGACTGTAAATAATAATAATGATAATGGGCCAGTAACATTAACCAACAACAGTCGAAGATAAAAGCACTCAGTGTGTCTTGGATTAACTGTAAATAAGCGTTCGATTTAAATAAATTGAGACATGCATCAACTGGTGAAACTTGCTTGCGGGGCATCCATTTTTTTGTTTGAGCCCATGTGAAATAGCGTGGTACTTGTGAATAGAGTATTGTTCTTGCAAAGGCACCAAAATCATCCGTACTATTACACAATTCAAAAAATGCAGTGAGTGTAGATTTAGGTGGATTTGGACCACGATCAATCACTATCTCGTTCGTGAAAAATACACGCTGACCGTTTTCAAGATGGACGGCTAACTGAACAGCTGCTGGATTCCGTTCATGAATTAGAAAACCGAAGACACGCCAAGCAGCTTCATTGGAGCTGATGTACCGACCAATTTGGTAGAGCGTAATTTCACCGTTTTGGAGGAGCATTTACATATGTATTTTCTACTCTAAACACAGCCATATCACTGCCTTTATGGACATACTTATATATTTGATGCTCTTCACAGAACTGCAAAACTAAACATTAATATGAGCATTGTATGTCTTGCTTAGTAGAGGCGAAACCGGCACCACCCGCCATTGTCCCCCATTATCGGGATTTCTTCGACGATATATTGGATATCCGTCAGTATTTGTTACAGTATCATTAGTGAAATCTTTAAAAAAATTTTTAGTACATTTTCCATCTACCATGCAAGGCGAAGACGAAGACGAAGAAACGAAGTGGATGTAAATTTATATCAAAAAAATAAAAAATTTTTTGTTAAAGCAATAAGGATATTTTTGCTGGGTAGGGACTCCCTAATCACTTTAGTGGTATGAAAAATAGATAGTAGCCGATTCTCAGACCTACTGAATACGCAAATAAAATTTGGTAAAAATCGGTAAAGCCGTTTCGGAGGAGTTCGGTAACTAACATTGTGACATGGACATTTTATATATAAGACCGCAAACAGACATCGTTTGGCCTTGTGACTTATTGATGGTCTTTGCAAATGCCAATCTAATGGAAAATTGAACACATTTGAATTAAATTGAATTAAATTAAAATAAAACTTTTTCGTTTCGGAACTTGCCATTCAAAATGGTGGCTTCGATAATGTTTTTCATCAATTTTTTAATTACCAATCGCGTACTATTGCATAGCCGTGGTGGGTTCAAATTCCGAAGTAAAATAATCGGTGATCCAACTTTCAGTCGTAAAATGTGTGGTGGCATGCCTGGCAAATCCAGTGAGTTTAAAAACTTTGCTGGATAGTTTACAACTTCGTTTTTATCACAAACTGTATCGATCGATTTGTATGATATTAAGTCGCCCGGCAATGTCTGTTTTATCTTGAAATTTAATTCATCAACGTCCATGTTTTTTTGCTGCTAATGGCTCTTTCTGCCAGCCACCCATGATTTATGTATTGTATGTGTACATCTGGAAATACGCGGTCAATGAGAGCATTTTGGGAATCAACGATAGTGCAGAAATTAGGTGGCAGTTTTATGAATTCAGTATTTTCATAGACAACAACTTTTCATATCATAGCAAGTTTTCTTTTTCAAAAATATGAAAAAATTTATGTCAAAAAAATAAAAAAATTTTTGTTAAAGCAATAAAGATATTTTTGCTGGATAGGGACACCCTAATCACTTTAGCAGTATGAAAAATAGATAGTAGCCGATTCCCAGACCTACTGAATACGCATATAAAATTTGGTAAAAATCGGTAAAGCCGTTTCGGAGGAGTACGGTAACTAACATTTTGACAATCTTAATTTTATATATAAGATTTAGGATTATTTCCATACAGAAATTATGTTAAATTATATTGCAAGACGCTTGAAAAATTATATTAAAAATTATACTTATGTGTAGATAATTTATACATACCCAAGGGCATTGACGTAAGCCCAACTTATGCGAATTTACAAATGCAATTAAAGCATTAAAGCAGTGCTTATTCTTGTGTGGGTGGGTATATACGAGTATAAGAGTACGTATTTATTTATTTTTTGTCTGGTCTGTAAGTCTAAAAATTCAAGTAAAGTTCAATATTTCATGAATAAGTACATAACACTTCTGCGAGATACACACAATTGGGATGAAATTTGTCTGCAAGAGCTTAAGGAGCAGACATGTAAGGATTTTAGTTATGTACCAGAATATATATATACCTATATACATATACATATATATGTATGTATGCCATATGTCGTTGAATAGATGGATAGTCACGCATCTGAATGTCTTTATAATAATTCAATTTTTGTGTGTTATAAGAGGAATTGTGGAATTGTAGTGGAAATTCGCTTCGCACACCTTTGGCAAATGTCTTGGTCGCTGCTGTTATTTTATGCGCACACAAAAGAGGTGAGGAAATGTGTTATTAATGACACTTGTGTCTGTGTTGTCACATCTGCTTAAGTTCCATAATACCAGGGTTTTGCCGTTGCTATCATGCAGATATTAGGTCCCCACTGTATTTATTGAAAATGATTTCTGTGAAGTCTGTTTTCAATTTTATGCAAATAAAATTCTCTTGTGTTGCTAGCGCAGTTTTTGCTGATTTTACTGATTTTACCGAATTTACTGCTTTTACTGCTTTTAAATAAAAATATAAATATAAATAAAAATTTAAATTTGAATTCAAATTTAAATTTAAATTTAAATTTATTTGAGAAATGGGAAAAAAAGCAAAGAAAAGTAAAGAAATTGGAAAAACTCTGCACAAATATAGAAAATTCATTTTTCATTTTAAATTACTCTTTGGTTAAGAATTTTGTGAGGAAAATTTTTATTTATTTCTTGGTCCTCAAGCAATAATTTACTGAAATACATGAACGTGAAAATCTTTCCGAAAAGATTTTAAGTCACGTTGTCAAATAAAATTCGATGTCATTTACATGTTCTAATCATTTATGTACATAAGGCATTTCAA